TGCTTTATATTTGTACTTCTCTACACAAAGCTATGAGATTTTCTTCTTCAAAGCAAATATTGGTTTGGTTTTTTGAACCAGCGGAGGATCGAAGTTGAGAAGAAAGCAGAAACAAGGTACTAGCTATTAAGATGATTTCCTTTTTTTAGGTTGAAAAGTAGTAAAGCTAGTAAGAAAAGAAGAGGTTTATGCGTATCACAATCCATAAATCGGTTTACTGAGGTAATGTTCATCCACATATGCGGTTCGAGCCTGAGGCTAATGTAAACCAAGATAAAGGAGCAGTGAGACATGCCCATTTTTAATGAGTTATTATTAGAGATAGGATTCTTGGTGAGTTCTGGTGAAGTCATAACGTAATTAGTTCACATTAATGGAGGACAACTGAACACAAGAAAACAAAATTCAAATTAAGTTCATGTCAATATTTCTTCTTTGCAAAAAAGAAGAAAAAAACAGCCAATCAAACCTAGCACAACCATTCGGGAGATGAGCTTGTTTTGTTTGTCGCAAAGCTGAATAGTCAAAACGGTCTAGGGTTTGCGTATAGAGGGTATTAGGTCCAGAATTCAAAAAAATAACCCCAAGATTTTAAGGACCACCACCTTATGGGTTACACTAAACCCGAAATTGTATATAATTTTCTCAAGATTTGTATATCTTATGACATGCTCGCTTTATGGTTATCTGCAAATCGTGTGATTTTAAATCATCCAATAAGAAAAAGAAATTAAGAAACATTTCATCAAAGAAAGATGCAGCCTATAGTTTATGTAGAGTTTTCTTGGGACCACTTCTCAACTATGTTATGTTCTTGCTCTTTAAACTAAAATCGAACAAGTAACATATATAGGAGATTAGTTCAAAGAGACAAAAGCTGAAATCACAAACATCAAGATCTTTATTAAGCAACAACTATACGAAGATAGTAACATTCCTTAGTACAATTAAACTATTAGTATACCAATGTGGTAACACCATTGCAATGTACTAAAACCTTAACAATGTTATATCTGACATCCAAGTACTTAATGATTCTAGGATACATGTTGGTTTCCATTGGCTCAAACCATGGAATCGCGGCATTGAGCTCCTGCACAGGCAGGCAGGAGTTGTCTTGGGAACCATGATCGCAAATATTTTAAGGTATCCACAAGTACACACCACATCTGATGTACCCATTGAGAAGGACAAGGAGAAATATGAAGAGAACATGTCCATGTGAAATATAATAGCTTATTATGATGGTTTTCATACCATTGCAGCATGGACAATATAGAATATAATAGCTTAGTATGATGATATTACCTTCAGCCATTGATGTTCGGAAAGTTGTTAAACTTGACACCCATCAGAATTAGATGTAAGTAAAAGAAAAGAGATATTTGATACCAATCTTTTCTCTGAGTTGTTTACTATATGTAGTACTGGACTAATGAAGGGAACAACTCATTTGTAAAAGAAAATCCAAAGCTTGGCGGATTAAGTAGAAACATATATGAGATTAGGTTTTCTATGAGTAGAAATATATTAAAGAATTGCCAAGATGGAGTGAGACTTCACTTTAGTAGCCATACAAAAAAAAAAGATTGATATATATATACACAAATTCACTAACTAGATTCGATTTTTAATTAATTACAGCTTATTTTATGAATTCACTTTTATAAATGGATCTATTTAATAGAACCAGATCCAATCCAATTACATCATATATATTCTAGTAGAACCAAAACTAAGGCAGATGAGCAAATCAAATAATTTCTTGACCTACCACCTCTATTCTAATTGAGAAAAATAGCAACAAGTTTTGGCTACTGTATGATGAAGTTATTTATAACTTCGGTTATTACAGCTACATCAAATTAGGAACTTTGGCTTTTTTACAGCCTCTTCATATACATATTGTTCATCTAGGATTTCAACTAATGTCTCAGTCTTGTTTTAAATCACAATATTTGTGGCATTAACCTTATCTTCTACTTCAGTCGGTTTTGTTTCCCTTATTTGCTTTACTTCGTCAAATTTTGTCATTCCAGATCCTTCATTTGACATCTTAGTTACTTCTCTTAAGTGATGCCATACTTTAGGTAAGTATTATGAAAAAAATTAAAATCAGGTTAATGATAAAACATGAATGATAACTAAGATTAGAAAGTCCGAAAAAAGTATTATTTTATTTAAGCCTTGCGCGGCCTTTGACCTAACCGTCTCGTAATGCTTAGATAATTAAAATAGTGTGGGTCACTTCTCAAAATATGTATGTATATATTGATTACAACTTACAAGTGAATTTAGAAGCCGTGGCTATATGAACCTAACAACCAGAACATATTTGTGGTTTGCCTCAGTTCCTCTGTTATAACTTTTAAGTCTATTGAGAAAAATGTAGTCATAGTTTGTTTCATATATGCGCAACCTGATGCAGACTAATCGTTACACGTTTATGAGAAGTGTGTGTGTGATCATCACACGTTTATGACTGAACATGGAGTTTTTTCTCCCTCAATTTTTGCAATCCTCTAAGACATTTAAGACTTTCTCCTTATATATAGATGTTAATTAACCCGACAGTAGATTGTTGTATATGGTGTAATGATTCATTTTCTTTTTAAGTTAATAACAATGAATTGAAAAGATGAAGACACATAATAGTAAGTTTCTTAAAACGAAACAAAAGATTAATTTGCTCAACTGTTTGACTTTAATACAAGAAATATAAATGCTGATGTAAATGAGGATTAGAAACATGTGTGTACACGTTATGACAACTAATTGTTTGGTTCGATTTTTTTTTAAAAAAGACAAAAATTAGAACGTCAAATCAACATAGGATAATATCAATATTATTATTAAATTTATAATGTGATAAAATATAGGATAATGAAATATATTTGACTAGAATAAAACAATATTTACTTTATGCTGTATAACAAGGGTAGTGATTATTTTTAGTAAGGAAAAAGAATATATTGTTAGTGTTGGTAATTAGTAATTACATTATCCCCTATATATTAAATAAAAATCATTTAAAAAGTTGTAACCTTAAATTTATAATAATTAAAAATAACTTCAATTCTATATTGCATAGTTCTTTGTCTTCTACTTTAATCTAGAAGGATTCAAGAGCATGTAATATAATATATAGTCTAAAAATTATACTCTCTAACAATATAATATTTCATAAGCTATAGTTGGTCGCATATATCACATATTTATTGTTTCGCATGTTTTTCTTAAATAAAACCTACATAATTACCTAATGTGATTAAAATATATATATGACAATTAATGATTTTAAACAATAAAGATTTGATAACAATCTGTATAGTTTTTTCTCATTTTGTTTATTTCTCTATTATTAAAAGAAATTTCACAATTAAATTAATCATATAATAAAAATCTAGATTTTTTGTGTATGTTATATTTCGAATTTGTCAAAATGAGTATAAATTATTAAAACTGTTAAAAGTCTCACATAAACTTTTAGGATCAATGTTTCGATTTTTTTATATATTAAAATATAATGATTGTAAGACCATATGAAGAAATAATTTTAATTTATATATATTTCATATCGTTTAAATTAAACTATACATCGTATGAAAATACATACTTATATTTTGATATTTGCATTGAACATATATTGAAAAGTTAATATTTTAATTTTGAAATATTTCATTGTTTTTTTAAAAATTATTATAAATATTGAAACTACTAAACATCTCACATTAAAAAAAATCGTTGGTGTAAAGTTTTGTTACACAAATATTCAAATAATCATAAAATCATGAGTAGAAATCTCGTTTAGTAAAAATACATATAAAAAGTGTGCTATATTACTATGTTTGTATCATTTAAATTTAATTCTATATCATATACAATATATAAGATTGATTATTTTGATTTATTTACCCTAATTGTGAATAAACAAGAGTGATAGTTAAATTTATATGCATACGCCAATTTATTACATAATAGTAACTGATTTCTTAGTTATTTAATATATATATTTATTATGTTATTATTTTATAATACGCAGAAAAATATAAAATAAATATAAAATATAAAATACTTATTGTGCATAAAGTGCAGATCTTAACTTAAGTATGTATCTCTTTGATTATTTTAAATCTTAAGTATTTTTTAAATCTCAAGTCAAAACAAACAAATGAAATGAGAATAAACATCAAAATAAATATTTATATCGAGAAATAAACAAAATTAAAAAAACACAACAAGAGAAAAAATTGAAGATAAATAGGATTGACACGTGAACGTAAACTTCTCATTACCATAATTAATTTTTAAATTGTTAAATCATGATATAAAACTGAGCTAATTTTTAATTTTTATTTTTTTTTTAAATTTTTTAAATCACTATGGTTATGTTAAATCATGACCATAATTAATTTTAAATTGTTTATTTGTATTTGAAATTTTAAAATATTGTTTTTAAAAATAATTCAAAATTTAACTTAATTTTTGTTAATATAATTTGTAAAAATATAATTTTCTAATATTATTAGACAACTAAATAAATTATATTAACTTATTTTTGAAACTTTATATATTTTAAATGCAAATATTTTATCAATTACTTCTTAAGAAAGCATTAGAAATCTTGCTAATACTCTATCAATCAAGCTCAGTGACACTCCATTTATTTTCCATTACTTAAACACTGAAAATTGAAAATATATATGAAATTGGGTTCATTAAATTCTAAATTTTGATCTATAGTTCTAATTACAATTGTTTCTGATCGTACGTATAAATAATTATATAAAAATTCCAAAATTTTATAATTTCAAATACATATAAAAAAAACATATGCAAATTTTAAATTTGTCTATACTAAAATGTTATATTTTAATTACATACATTCATGTCTAATTCTATTTATTTTTATTTCGGGAAACTATATAGTTTTGTAATAATAATAAAAAGGAAAATGCAAAAAAAAAAAAATCATATCTCCATGGATTAAAATAAAAACAAACATAACATTTCGCTGCTGCGCTTCTTCGCCCTCAGATTCTTCTTCACACCTCCAAAGACCCCCAATCACAGATCCAAACAATGCCTTCCCAAATTAGGTTTCCGATCATCGACCTCTCTTCTCCTCTCCCGCCTCCCCGATATTAAGATCACCGCCGCGAATTTCCGCGAACTTTCCTCGATAATTTTTTTTTTCAAGCTAGGTTTTATCCAGTGACGGCGTATTATCTCATCAGTTGACATTTCGTTTTAATCGCCAGATCGTTCGTAGGGGCTCGTTAATAGGTTTTCGTGTTAATGAATCTCCGCCTTAGGCTTGAGGAGTTGAGTAATTTCTTTATCCTCGTTGTGAGATCGTGATTTGGGATTTTAGGGTTTTCGATTACTGGTGGATTGGAATTTGTGATTGATTTATTGAATTCGGATTCCACTGATTGTGTAAAAGACTGAAGAGTTTAGATACTTACGCCCATTCGAGAAGTTTGTACACTGTAACTATATAAAACGCTTGGGAGAGGGGATGTTTGGTTCTACAGTGGATACAAGCCGTGGGAACAGCTCTGCTTCAGGGCAGCAGCTTCTTACTCCGACTCGTTTTGTGTGGCCTTATGGAGGGAGAAGGGTCTTCCTAAGCGGATCTTTCACTAGGTGAGATGGAACTAGGATTGTTACTTTGTATTTCGGTAGAGAAAATTAGGTTTATTCGATGTGTTTTATGTGCTCTGTATACGCTAGGATTGTTACTTTGTATTTCGGTAGAGAAAATTAGGTTTATTCGATGTGTTTTATGTGCTCTGTATACGCTAGGATTGTTACTTTGTATTTCGGTAGAGAAAATTAGGTTTATTCGATGTGTTTTATGTGCTCTGTATACGCATTGGCTGATTTATGAAATGGGAGTGTGAAACAGGTGGACAGAAAATGTGCCAATGTCACCACTTGAGGGCTGCCCTACTGTTTTTCAAGTCATTTGCAACTTGACTCCGGGTTATCATCAGGTTAGTAACTTGGACTTTGACCTGCTGGAACATTCATCTCCTTATAGACTCTGCCACATTCATCGATATTTATATACATTTAGTCTCTAGATGCTTAACAAATGCAGTATGCATGAGGAAATCATATATACATCTGTTGTAGTTGATTACATTCGCTTCGGGTTGTGTCATCATTGAACTGTATGCAATCCATGGTAGCTTCATGAACGTGGCTATTAAGATCTGAGATGCTTAATAAGTCTCTGATGTTGTTTCATTTTCATGCAGTATAAGTTCTATGTTGATGGGGAATGGCGGCACGATGAGCATCAACCATTTGTAAACGCAAATGGTGGAATAATGAATACAATATTTATAACTGGACCAGATATGGTTCCCACTGCTTTTAGCCCATCCAGCATGGATGTGGATGATTTCTCCCACAGAGTGGTAAGGAATTTGACCTTTTATTTTGCCAAAAAAAATTCAGTGTTATGATATGCTTGTTATCTTATTAGTAGATTTGGTTCTGTTGTATTTCGATTATATATATATACGACGCTTCATTTTTTTTTCTTATTGCAAATCCGAAATTCTTAAAAGGGATATACGTTTTCTGCAAAAGGGAGGGAAAGAAATAGTTTATGATAATAACATTTTTATTTGATATATATAGCAGAGCCTTAAGTTCCATATAATCGTCTCTCTAGACTACATTTCTAATTGAATTTTCTGACTCGGTATATTGTGTTTATATTATAGGCTGATCCTTCCCAGGATTCTATACCTAGGATATCAGCGGTTGATCTGGAGGTGTCCCGTCACCGCATATCTGTTTTATTGTCAACCCGTACTGCATACGAGCTGCTCCCAGAGTCGGGCAAGGTCTGGTTTCTTCATTTTTCTTACTGTTTGATGATTTTTGTCTTCATATGCTATAGATTATCGCCGAAGACTACCTTCTGTCGTCTTAGTCGGAAATTGTCTAAGGTGATTGTAAACTTTTACAGGTTATTGCATTGGATGTGAATTTACCAGTAAAGCAAGCATTCCATATACTCTATGAGCAGGTTTGCGATATTTACTATTGTGTCAGCTTCTCATCTTTTTTGATGTTCCTCTCTCTGTCCCTTAGTCATGTATGACAGTCTAATGTTATTGCATCCCGACCTGAAAAGGGAAGGAAGTGAAACTTAAAAGAACTAGATTCGTCTCAATTTATATTTTGATTGTCTGAGTTTCTGGTTTTTGCTAATTCTCGATGCTTTCAGGGAATCCCTTTGGCTCCTCTGTGGGACTTTGGTAAAGGCCAATTTGTTGGAGTTCTTGGTCCATTGGACTTCATTCTAATACTGCGAGAGGTTGGCTTCTCCAATAATTTTTTCATTGCTAGAGCAAGCCGTTGAGTGACTGTCGTATCATTGTAGAATTTCCTAGAGGAAATTATAAATGTCAATAACTCGACGGGGAGATTCATACGCTTTACTGTCTAATAATAATACTACGGTGTGGTTGGTTAATGATACTAGGTTGGATTCACAAATATTCATATGATTTAATGTCTAAACTTGGGATTAATGTGAAGTATAACAGATTTTGGTAGTTTTCCTGTATATTACCTATGAAATTTATGGAGATCTTTGACTAGCTTCCTCAGTATGAAGTTTTTCATTTTTTCGTATATTTGCAGCTTGGAACACATGGATCCAACTTGACAGAAGAAGAGCTTGAGACGCACACAGTAGCAGCCTGGAAAGAGGGGAAAGCCCATATTAGCAGACAATATGATGGAATTGGGAGACCATATCCTAGACCACTTGTTCAGGTGAGAATTTTATAGTTGATTTCTACCGCTATCGCTGCTGATCTTTTCTTTTAGCTTCCTCGACATGATCATCTCTCTTATTTATCTTTCCTCTTACGTTGAAAAAGATCATGTGGTTATTTACGATCTGAAAAAAATTAAGTGTTTTAGCTATCCAACCTCACATATATATCTACAGTTGATTCAACGACTTAGGTTCAAAATGAAATGAATAACATGACTGTTCCACTTTAGATTGGGAGGTTTGTTTATTTAAGAACGTAAACGATTCGTATATGCATGTCTACTGTCGACATGTTTACTAAACTATTAATGTTTTCATAAATTGCAATCAGGCTGGGCCCTATGATAATCTGAAAGACGTTGCCCTGAAAATTTTGCAAAACAAGGTGGCAGCCGTTCCTGTTATATATTCTTCTTTGCAGGATGGGTCATATCCGCAGTTACTGCATCTTGCTTCGCTATCAGGCATATTGAAATGTAAGATCCTTCAATTGTGAATAAGATCACAAGGCACTGATAAGCGCTCCAGATTGGCGTTACACACTTTTCAATTCAAAACGAGCCATATAATTCTGCCGTTTCCAAAATTTCCACACTTCTTCATTTCTCCATATATTCTGTTAAGGGATGGGATCTATAGGAGGGAAGTTAGAGCTTTATAGTTGGAATAGCCTTTCCCAAATTTTAGTCACAGTTTCGCCCTGCTGTATATACAAATTTCCGAAAATTTATGCTTTTTATCAAACTCTAAATTACACATAATACTCCAGGTATATGCAGATACTTTAGACATTCGTCTAGCTCTTTGCCAATCCTTCAGCAGCCCATTTGTTCAATTCCCCTGGGTACTTGGGTCCCTAGAATCGGTGAATCAAGTAGCAAACCTCTCGCTACATTGAGACCACAAGCCTCTTTGGGTTCTGCGCTCTCGTTATTAGTTCAAGGTAATCCGTTTTTGGTCCTGTTTCATCAATATATTGTTTACATTTTTAATTGGATTTAGATCTTCTTTATATCGAAATCTTACCTAGTAGCTGCACAAGTAGTTTTCTTCGACCTGTCTTATCAAAGTTGTTTTACAGGGAATAATATCAATTCAGATCTTCATAAAATTTAACATGATGCGTGTCATGCGAGTACCTTTGGTCTGTTTCTCAGAGATGAAATTGAACGAACGAGTCGGGCTGATCTATGTCTCTAATACCTTGTGTTCTCTGTCGTTTTTTACAGCTGGAGTTAGCTCAATTCCTGTAGTGGATGACAACGATTCGCTTATTGACATATACTCTCGAAGGTAAACGTGAATCCATTATCCATCAATCAACATGAATCCATTTTCTGCAGCCAGGTGATCTAATGGCATATATCTGTTTTATTGGCCAGTGACATAACGGCCCTGGCTAAAGATAAGGCATACGCACAGATTCATCTTGATGACATGACGGTTCACCAGGTAAACAGCAGCCACGATGCATCCCATGTCTCATCATTGTTATCTTTGAAGTCTAAGCTGCCTATCTATAAGCTGTCATCAGAAATTGTCATCTTTCTATTTTGTGCGAACGTATGGGATAGAAGAATGAAAAAAAGAGAGATAATTAACGTGGTTAAGGAAAAAATGTGTGTGGGTTACAGGCGCTGCAGTTGGGGCAAGATGCGAGTCCGCCTTACGGAATCTTCAACGGGCAGAGATGTCACATGTGCTTGCGCTCAGACTCTCTTGGGAAAGTGATGGAGCGGTTAGCGAATCCAGGTACCACCATCTCCCTCCCATAACATCTTCAGGCTTTGGTTTTGCATTTATTACAAACACACAGATAAACATCATCGTCGGATGGGAAGTATATTTATTAGGGTTTGGTTGTGTAAACAAAAAAAAAAACAGGAGTAAGGAGGCTGGTGATAGTGGAAGCAGGGAGCAAACGTGTAGAAGGTATCATATCTTTGAGTGATGTTTTCCGGTTCCTGCTCGGTCTTTAACTATTTCCCCACAAGGGCAAAACACAGCCTTCTCAAAACTCTGCTTTTCTCAAAATGAAACTACCCAACAATTTGCTTATTGTTTCCCTTCTTATTGTGTTTTTTGTGGGCAAGGAATCATGTAAATTTGCTACGAATTATTTTTGTTGTTTTTACTTAGTTGAACTGGTTTACCATTCTTGTGAAGGATATATTATTGGCTACCGGAAAGTTTACTTAGTATGCTGCGCTTCTTTCAGCTCTTTTTTTAGGGTAGACGATCTATTTACCTATGAGAACTATCATATAGCATCAGATTCCCACCGAACTATGACCTCATACTAGATCTCCACGAATTGAAAATTGCAAACCTATTTCTCACCGAATTAAAAATTGCAAACTTATTTCTCCCCGAATCAATACTTCAAAACTTAATTACCCATAGACGATGGTTTTAATTGGTTTATTCTTAACCATACATCTTAAAATCAAGTAAACCAAACCAAAATTCAATTAAATAAAACAAAATCTTCTTCTGTTATAAAATAAAGCCATTAGAATTAATACATATAAATGTTTACGGTGATTCAGGTGGGGATTTAATTGGATTTTGATTTGGTTTACTTAGTTTTAAGATGTTTGGTTAATAATAAACCAGCTAAAACCAATTAAACCATTGTTTGTGGGTAATTAGGTTTTGAAGTATTGATTCGGGGAGAAATAAGTTTGTAATTTTCAATTTGTGGGAATCTAGTATGAGGTCATAGTTCGGTGGAGATCTGATACTATATGATAGTTCTCGTGGGTAAATAGATCGTCTACCCCTTTTTTATTTTATTTTCTTTCCTTGTTGAGTTTTCGCTTCAAAGCTTAAATTTTATGTTGCATTAATTCATAGGGACAGTAAAACGGACCTGAGAATAAAGGGAATTCAAGCAAGTTAAAGCTATGATGAATTTTCTCTATCAAGAGACCATAACAAATTAATAACAATATATGAATCATTATGGAGGTGTCACGACACTGTCTTCTTTTTCTTTTCTTTTATTCATTTGTGTTACACGTTATCGCTGTCCATCTTACCACACCAACACTTATGAGATGATGACAAAAGTAAACGGTTCACTTCACTTCACGCTTTTGCTTACCCAAAAACACTCAGATTTTACGTTTTCGATTTCTCTTTTCCCGAAAAGCTTGACTTTGAAGTGAGTCTCTCTCTCTCTCTCTCTTACTCTCTAGTCCACCTAACTTTCTTCGTCTTTGCAACGAAGCGACGACACGTTGCAGCACTCCAGAAGCTTTGATCAGAAACTGTAATGGCGGAGATCGGAAAGACGCTACTCGATTCGGGCTGGTTAGCAGCCAGATCAACAGAGGTTAATGAAGACGGAGAGAAGCTCACCACCACAAATCCACCGTCTCTCGGTCCCAAATCTCCATGGATAGAAGCCGTTGTACCCGGAACGTAATCTCCACTTTCCCCTCTTCTCTTCTCAATTCCAAAAAAGCAATTTAATTAATCAAATAATCTACGTAATGATCATTCCCAATCTCTAACACTCGCCTAGTAAAAAAGTCAACCCAATTAAAACAAAGTCAAATTTTACTTATCATATACTCCCACTTGATTAATGATTTGATTTTTCCTCTTCTTGTTTCAATCAAATGCCACAGTGTCTTAGGCACCTTGTTGAAGAACAAATCAATTCCAGATCCTTTCTACGGACTAGAAAACGAAACCATCACCGACATTGCTGATTCCGGAAGAGACTACTACACTTTCTGCTTCTCCACACACTTCCCTTGTAAAAGAGTGAGATTCCTATCTCATCTAACTATGAACGAACCCTAATATTTCAGTTTTATGTATACTATCTTTGTTATTTTTGCAGTTGTTGAATCAATACGTGCATCTGAATTTTCGTGCTATAAACTACTCTGCTGAGGTGTATTTAAACGGCCACAAGATTGTACTTCCCAAAGGAATGTTTCGCAGACATACACTTGACGTTACTGATATTCTGCACCCTGATAACAAAGACAATCTACTTGCTGTTATCGTTCATCCTCCTGATCATCCTGGGAGTATTCCTCCCCAGGGAGGTCAAGGTGGTGATCACGAGGTACACCTCTCTTTGAATGATTTGATTCTAACAAACACTATTATCTTATATGGCTGAATATCTATGACAGATTGGGAAAGATGTAGCTGCACAATATGTGGAAGGTTGGGACTGGATTTGTCCTATTAGGTAATGTTTTTTTGCTTCTTTTCTTGAGATTATCAGATAAACATTCTCTCAGATGTCGTTTTTCTTGTTAGGGATCGGAACACTGGCATATGGGATGAAGTGTCAATATCTGTTACCGGGGTTAGTTTAGTTGGTTTACATTTATGTAAAGGAGGTGATATATATATTGTGTTTCTCGACTGAGATTAGGAACTGATTGTTTTTGTTGCAGCCTGTAAGAATAATTGATCCTCACTTGGTCTCAACCTTCTTTGACGATTACGAAAGGGCCTACTTGCATGTGACTGCTGAACTTGAGAACAAAAGCACATGGAATGCTGAATGTTCTGTAAATATTCAAGTAACTGCCGAACTCGAGAACGGTGTTTGTTTAGTAGAGCATCTTCATACAGAGAATGTTCTGATTCCCGCTCGAGGACATATTCAGCACACATTTAAACCGGTGAGTGGTACTGTTATTGTATACCGACTTAAAACTTTCTGGTTTTTGGGGCTCTGATTACAACTTTCTGCACTTACTATATGGCCTCTTATAAGTGTTTATTCTTTAAGCTAATGAGTTTGTGAATTACCAGCTCTATATCTATAAACCTGAACTGTGGTGGCCCAATGGGATGGGAAAGCAAAACCTTTATGACGTCTTGATCACTGTCGCTGTGAAAGAATTCGGAGAATCTGATTCGTGGATGCAACCATTTGGATTCCGTAAGATTGAGAGTGATATTGATAGTGTCACTGGTGGAAGGTAATCTTTTCATATTTCAGTTTGAATGATTCTGTGGAGGCTCTGCATCTTCTGTTAAAATTTTCCAGGCTGTTCAAGATCAATGGAGAGCCAATATTCATCCGTGGTGGCAATTGGATACTATCAGACGGTTTGTTACGCCTCTCCAAAGAACGTTACAGAACGGACATAAAGTTCCACGCAGATATGAACATGAACATGATCCGTTGCTGGGGTGGTGGGTTGGCTGAAAGGCCTGAGTTCTATCACTTTTGTGATGTCTACGGTTTGTTGGTATGATTCTAGTTTCTAGAGTCTAGACTTATAGTTGTCTATCATTCTTCGGAACTTTTATCCATTTCTGAAGTTCATCTTACTTAAATCTCAGGTTTGGCAAGAGTTTTGGATCACTGGAGATGTTGATGGAAGAGGTGATCCAGTATCAAATCTCAACGGACCACTAGACCATGACTTATTCCTGTTATGTGCTCGTGATACTGTCAAACTTCTGAGAAACCATCCAAGCCTTGCTCTTTGGGTTGGCGGAAACGAACAAGTTCCACCAAAAGACATAAATGAGGCTCTCAAGCAAGACCTGAGGCTTCACCCTTATTTCACAACCCAATTGTTATCAGACAAGGATTCAGATCCTAGCGTTTATCTTGACGGTACTAGAGTTTATGTTCAAGGATCTATGTGGGATGGCTTTGCAGATGGAAAGGGAAACTTCACTGACGGCCCTTATGAGATTCAAAACCCTGAAGATTTCTTTAAAGACACGTATTATAAGTATGGGTTCAATCCAGAGGTCGGTTCGGTTGGAATGCCAGTTGCAGATACCATAAGAGCGACAATGCCTCCGGAAGGTTGGGAGATTCCTTTGTTTAAGAAAGGTTCAGACGGGTTTGTGGAAGAAGTGCCTAATAGAATGTGGGATTACCACAAGTACATTCCATATTCTAAGCCTGGCAAAGTTCATGACCAGATTCTGATGTACGGTGTTCCAGATAATCTCGATGACTTCTGCTTGCAGGTACATTTGGGATCTTGGCCCTTTCAGCCAATAGTGTAGCTTGCTTAACTTAATGTGATCTCTTAGTTCAGTTGAACATTTACAGTTTAGATCGTAGCTGACAATATTATGACTTGATTTGTTTTCTCCGTAACAGGCTCAACTGGTGAACTATATTCAGTACAGAGCTTTATTCGAGGGCTGGAGTGCGCAAATGTGGACAAAGTACACAGGTGTCTTAATCTGGAAGAACCAAAATCCATGGACTGGTCTCAGGGGTCAGTTCTACGACCATCTTCTTGACCAAACAGCCAGTTTCTATGGCTGCCGTTCCGCTGCAGAGCCAGTCCATGTCCAGTTAAACCTGGCAAGTAACTTCGTTGAGGTCAGTTTGATTCCCTGTAACTCTTTCCATGTCAATGTCTGTGAACCAAGAGTGAATAATAGTAAATTATGAATTATGTACTCTAATCCCCACAGGTTGTGAACACGACTCCTAAAGAGTTATCAGATGTAGAGATAGAGGCATCGGTATGGGACCTAGAGGGTAACTGCCCATACTCCAAAGTATTCAACAAACTCTCTGCACCGCCAAAGAAAGTTGTGAAAACATCGGAATTCAAGTACCCGAAATCAGAAACCGCAAAGCCTGTGTATTTCCTTCTTCTCAAACTGTACCATGCCTCAGACAAAACGGTTATATCCCGGAATTTCTACTGGCTACATCTGCCTGGGAAAGATTACACGCTCTTGGAGCCATACAGAAAGAAGCAAATACGACTGAAGACAACTTGCAACGCAGTTAGAGTGGGTCCAGATTACGAGCTGGAAATCAATGTCCACAATACATCTAGAGCTGACTTAGCCAAAAACGCTATTCATGACGAGGGAAAACGCGATATGGGTTTGCTCCAGAAGCTCTTCAGTAGATGTGGTGTTACTGAAGATAGCAAACGCGGTTTGAAAGTGGTGGAAATGGAAGGATCTGATCCAGGAGTTGCTTTCTTTCTTCGTTTTTCAGTCCACAATGCAGAGGCAGAGAAACAAGACACGAGGATCCTGCCTGTACACTATTCAGACAACTATTTCTCACTAGTTCCGGGTGAATCAATGTCGTTTAAGATATCATTTGCAGCTCCTACAGGCGTGAAGAAGCCTCCTCGTGTTATGCTTCGAGGATGGAACTACCCTGACGGGTTTACTGTTTTTGGTTAAGGCAAACTACTTTTCGTGTTAGTAATATAACTGCTTGCAAACTCAATAAATGGAACTTTGATGACAGCTCTCTATAATATGCATCCAACACTCTATTAGATTCAAAGAGCATTTCAGAATCATACATTCGGACCAAACCTCAAGTCTACTTCTTGTCAACACAAAATGAGAGTCACACATACATATAATTATATATACTAGTTGACCAATGAAAAATCGAAAGCCGAGGATCAAGACCATCTGGACCTGTTTCTGGCCAGTCTTGCCCGAAAATTATAGCACAACGAGAGACAAGGAGCTTTTTGTACATGTCATTTTCCTGGAGATGCAAACCTCGACTTCTCTCTCTGTCGGCTCAAGCCTCTCTCTCTTGGGGATGATCCCGTCCCTGCCTGGCGCATTATCTCTGCAACAACATATATACTACAAGTCAACGAGCGTATATCACATCGGTATTGCTATGTTATGTTGCTCAACGTCTATGATGTCATGCAAGATTCATCAAAGAAAACACCACAGACCGTGCAGTGTGCAATCATGAACCTCACAAAAGGGACAAGACATACCTTGTCGCTTTCTTTCCAGTTCTTGATCAAGCTCTTCCTTCCATTTCTTCTCTATCTCCGACAAAGCTACACTGCAAAGCCAAATAAAGGAAATGAGTCAAGAACCCTAGGTTAAGGTAAAAATTGACATCGTTGCTGGACAATTAGAAGAAAGCGCGACACATGTTTTAGAACTCTTAAAACTTCTCATGTTTGAACGCATTCGTGATTACTATTCTCATATGGTTCTTAACTCACCACTTTGAACACCCAAAATGCAACAATTCGGCGACATAGAGGGCAGTTAAAGCTTATGACATGCATGAATGGGACATAGTTCTCGCTATCATTATTCCTACTTAATGCGTAAGAGGATCAAAGGAAACTAACCTCTGGCTCTTTGATTCCTGTTCAGTATCAACAGTTAGACCCCTCCAGTCAGTGACTCGGGCTGATGCACCATCCTGCGAAGCTTCATCACCTCCATCGTTCATATTCACTTCACGGCTACTTCCACTTCCTGGGCTCTTAGTACAACTAACTGCGTCTGTTGCTCTCGAGGGTGAACCACCAAGAGGACCCCGACTCGGTGATCTGCTTTTTGGAGGCAGTTTCAGGAAACCACGAGCAGTGTCCTCTCTTTTAGTGCTACTTAGATTACTCTCCATTCCACTGGGAGAGCACGTGATCAAATTGTTGTAGTATTCTTCATATAGAGGGGTCTGTAATTTCTTTAGGTCTGCAGCCTGAGATTAATATATTCACTCCCACGTTAGTGATTGAAAGAATGTGACTTACGTTTAAATGGCAGTAAGGAACATGATAAGTGTGGTAGAATGTGCGTGAAGCACCTTTTCATCTAAGAAGGCTTTAATTTTTGACTCGGTCAGCTCCTCATCATCTTCTGAGTATGACGGTTGGTCAACTTCCATGCTCATTTTAGTCTCTTTCTCTTCATTACAAGGACTTTCGTCAAATTTGGAACTCAAATCATTGGAAATATCTCTTGTAGCATCAGAGCTCTGTCAAAGTAAGACTTATTAAATGATGCTTACAGAACAAAATGAAACTCAATTCAAATAATAGTTGAGACTTGAATCGGTCATTGGAACCTCTTGATGAGAAATATGAATCACATGAATGGTTACCTTCTTCAGATCACTATTATTTTCAAGGAAAGGTCCTGTCTCTCCGTTAAATGTCAAAAAATTGTCGTCGTCAATCAAACACATATCGTCTTCCTCACCTCCATTATCGTTTTGTGGCCTGAAATTGTTGTTTTGGATTGATTTCAAAGGAGATGCAAGTGAATAGTTCAGACTGCCCAAGTTACACATGTCTCCTACATCGTTGCATGTAGAATGTGGACTGAAACAAAGGAAACAGACAAAAACAGTCAGAATCTTTCATAATCCAAAAAATTCATTTTAATATTTCGGTTTCAGCCAGAACTTACGAGCACTTAGTGTTAGTTAACTCTGACAAGGCAGGAGTGCTACCATTCTTCTGGAAAAAAAAATGATCATATCAAGATGGCTTCAAGAACAACGTATATGATATTCATAAGATGGTCGACATGCACCCACCACGACAGAAAGAAGATCAGTTGAAGCAGATTCCTTGTGTTTTCCCGTAACAAAAGGATGCTGTAAACAGAACAAAATCAAGAGCACGTCAACTAGAAAAATCAATTTCGATGGTGCAACACTTAAACTGTTTGTAGTTCACCTTTAGTAGCTCAGATGCCGTTGGCCGCATATCTGGTTCCCTGCCAATACGAAGCAATGATTCAGCAATCCCAAAGACAAAACACAAAAGTAATGATGAGATTTACTTTACAATTCTAATCTAATTGTTTTTGAAGCACAGTAGCTTACTGTTGTAGACACTTGAGCAGAAAGTCTTTTGCATCAGAGGAGAGAGTATCAGGTATTGGAGGATGGGATTTTGTCGTTCCGATGAAGAAGATAGCAGCAACCTGAAAACAAAGTAAGTTCACCTGTAATGAAGCAAAATTCTTTACAACCAGGAATAGAATATAAAATACCTCTTTATACTTCTGACTCCAAGGAGCCTTTCCAGTCACCATTTCAATAACTGTACAGCCCACGCTCCATATATCAGCAGAGCTGGAAATAATATCCACAGGTTTGTGAGAAATTAAATAATGGAGCCTATGTCGCCATTACTAAAATTATAATCACAAGCGTCTGAGCTATCAGGTACGAAAATTTTATTACAAGCACACATAAGAGCTTACAAGCTATGTCCAGTTTGAAGAATAACTTCGGGAGCCATCCAATAGGGTGTCCCTTTCATAGATTTTGCACCAGACATCGTAGCCTAGAGATGAAAACATGTCATTATAAAGAATATTTTATATAAGGCCAACTAAGAAATATAAGTTGAAATAAACAAAAGGAGTGAATTACCAACTCAGCTACTTGTTTGGATGCACCAAAATCAGCAAGTTTAATGCATCCTTCTTTATCCACAAGGATATTAGCCCCCTGAGAAGAGAGGAACATAATAATATCGTGAGCAAGGACTCTAGAATGCAAGCTGTTTCAAAGTATGGGGGAAAAACTGTTACCTTAATGTCTCTGTGCATAATTGCATGATTGTGAAGGTACTCCAACCCAAAAAGCAGCTGTTTTGTGAATCTCCGCACAACCTAGTTCAACCATCTCAACACTTAAAGAAGGCAGAACACTCTAGTAATAGATGGAAAAAAAAAGAGTCTAAAGAATGACTGACTGATTCAGGAAAAGGTCCGAATTTCTCCAAGAGCGAAGATATAGATCCACCGGAAACAAGCTCGAGAAGGATGTTGAAGGTGTCATCTTCTCTCACTGTGCCCAAATACCTCTAAAGGCCAAGAAACGTAAAAAAAAAAAAAACTGATTTAGATCATAACACAAAGGATGTGTTGAACTGAATCAATACCGCATTGAGAACAAGAGAATATAATAATTTACTTACAACAATATTTGGATGGGATAGTTTTTTGAGAAGTTTCACTTCTTCCTCTAGCTCCTGAATCTGAGCCTGAGTTTTCTCCTTGGAAGCATAATTGGATGCAATCAAAACCTGAGAATTAACCAAAAAACAAATTCATCCAATTAAATAAAAAAAAGCTTTCGACTTTCAGTATCAGATCCGAGATTAGTAACTACCAACAACAAAATAAGCAGTAAAGGAACTTCCTTGATTTTTTTTCAAAACCCTAGGGTTTGTACCTGTTTAACGGCGATGAGCTCCCCGGAATCGAGATTCATACCCATGTACACTGTACCGAACGCGCCGCTACCAATTACGTCGCCTTTCCTCCACGAAATCGGAGGTGGAGTTTCTACGGTGGTGGGAGGAGGCGAGGAGGAGGGTTTGATGAGAGCCCTGGATTTGCGGATGCAGGAATTGATCTTATCGGCGAGAACGCCGGGGAAAGGAGGCTGATTCTCTTGGTTGTTGTCTTCATCTCCGGGAGGACGGAAGACGAGAGATCGGCGAACGGAGCCGAAGAAATCTTGCATCTGAATCGATTTTTGGGGTTTTTTCTTTTTTCACACTGTCTGTGACGACTCTCTCTTCGTTCGGCTAAAATTATTAGAGCGAGTGAGAGGGAAAAGGGCATCGATATTATACTTTTTGAAATTAAAAATATAGATATCGATTTTTCACATAAGAAAAAAAAAAACAATCAGTATACTGTCTATTTCATTTTTTATTATTAACCGGTGGATTTTGGGCCGAAACCAAAACTAATTTATAGAAATTCGGGCCATGCGTTATGCTTTGTGCATACGTAGACCTCGGATGATTGGAGTAACATCACGCTGGGTAGGCCTGGGCGTTTTTACCCCAACCTGAAGTACCGATCTAAATCCAAACCGAAAAAATCGAATCCGAATCCAAACCATTATACAAAACTAACCGAACGGGGCTTATGAGCCTAGTATTTCGGACTTTGGATATAACCCGAGCCGAACCAAAATCCGAAATAAGATCCGAAGGTATCCAAAATTAGTTAAATATGTTAATTATATGTTAAGGTAATTTTAGATAGTTTCTAATATTCTAAATAATTTCATAGTCTATGTTATATGTTATTTTGAATATATCTTAGCTAATTTTGATTGTTTTACTAATTTTTAATTATACTTATGAATAATTTACATATTTTGAATACTATTTTGTCAAATTTTTAGGTTTAAAAAAAATATTTTTGGATGATTTCAGACATTGGTTATAATCCGATCCGAACCGAACCCGATCCGATTATTAACAAAAACCGAATGGTACTTATGAGCATAGTACAGAAAATCCGAATCAACCGAACCGAAACCTATAGGGGCCACCGAACGCCCAGAATCAACCGAACCGAAACCTATAGGGGCCACCGAACGCCCAGACCTAACGTTGGGTACCAAAAATGATGATAATGTTGTTCTGACGTATACATGCTTCTTCATCTTTAATTTGAAGTATTAATGATTATACTAGTTAGGGAAATGTATGGTGTATTTAGATGTAAAGCAAACACATGGAGTGAAAAGAAGATAGGTGATCTAGTTTGTATGTGAAGAGCAGAGACACGAATAAAGATGAGAGACAATAACATTCAAATAAATGAAAAACATGTCAACCACACTTATTCGTCCTTACAGAGTCAACAGTTATACATTCTTCTGGTTCAGCACTAAAAGTTTCTCCTTGAAGAAAGTACCGAATGGGACATAATTAACAAACACTGATTTTGATATGTTAAGTCTCCTCCTTTCTTAATTCCACTTGGACTGAGACTACAACCTGCAACAAACAAACAAACAAATCAACTATCAGATTGTATATCTTTGTCTTTCAAAAGTTGTAGATCAAAACAAGTCATCATCTATACCAACAACTCAAAAACAGCCATACACTAGATATTGATTATGCCTAAAATAAGCTAAAAACTCACAGTTTCTTTGCCAAAGCTAATTCTCCGGGTCAGGCTGGTCAGGTCCCTGTTGCTGCCAGATAGGTTGACCAATATAAGGATTAGGCGGGTAGGCACCACCCGGGTTACCCATAACCATTCCCGGGTTCCCTACCGGTCCAGTTCCCGGAGGCAAGTATCCATACGGATAACCAGCAGCAGCAGCAGCCTCAGGAACAGTCCCTCTTCCTAAGACCTCATCCCTAAGATCCTCCCTAGGAACAATATCCACAAGAAAATCAAAGATATCAGTTCTAGTCACAGCAGCTGCTATATCATTCTTCTGCAGCGTCCGTCTCTTATTCTCCTCCGTGTGGTTCCACGACCTGAGTGTCAGCTCCAAGATGAACATCTCGCAGGCCCTTGCAAACACAACAGGGGCCTCAGCAGAGATCATACGCACATCCTCGTCAGCTTTCATGATTTTCTTGATTCTCGCAAGGGGAAGGCTGTGGTTCTTGAAATCGGTTGTTTTCTCAATCTCTTTGAATTGGTTCTCCCAAAAGACTTGAAGCTGTTGAGTCAGCTGTTGTTGCTGCTGCTGCTGATGGATCTGGTGGAATGCTAGCTGGCCTGGTGGTGCTGCTGCTGGTCCCACGCTCCCGGCTACAGTGGTTGTCATGGGGTTGGTTTGGTATGGGTTTGAGCCGTAGTTTATGGCTCCGGACTGTCCATGCTCTTGTTGATCCATTTATCTACTAGAAATAAAAGCTTTTCATCAAACATTTAAAGAGATAAGGTTGCAAACAATAAACAAAGATGGAAACACAACAAACTTAAAATTTAATCAATATTTCTAAATTAAACCAGAAGATCTACAACAGCAACACGTATAAAAAGTGAGTTTATATATAGTTAAAAAGAAAATCTACTTATTATAACCAATAATTAAGTTCCTAAAACAGACAGAGCAAAGGATTTTACCAACAAAAAAATTATATACCAAAAGATATTCTAAGCAGCAGAACCAAGTAGAATTTTTCCCCAGGTCTATTATTTTTATAAGTGCATGGATTTAAGAAAAAATATGCAGTTGCCAAAAAAAAAAAAAGAAGAAAAAATATGCAAGAACAGGTCAGACCAGAAACAAAAAAACTAACATAGTTAGAGTAAACATAAAATATCTGAAAAGGAGAGTGACCTCTGAGTAGAAGTTGCAAGGGGAATCTGAAGTTGACAACGAACAAGAAGAAGAGTTGGATTGAGGAAGAGACTAGTTGGATCCTCTTGAGTTATAAGATCTGGTCTGCTTTGCTTTCTCCTTTTTCGACTTTAACAATGAGGGAAATAGAAGATGACAACAACAAACGGGTGTAATAAGTGTGGAAAGGCTTTAAAAGATGGGTGTCGTGTCAAGCGCTGGGCTTTTGTCAAGATTCTTGTGCTCTTGTCAGATGATGTTTCGTTTTTACTTTTCCGGTTTATAATAATACTGTTTATTTCACACAAAATTAGTAGTTACTTTCACACTTTGTAATAAAGAATTTAAAAAGTAAATATATCAGACAGGTAAACCAGCCTAGCACATTCTAACTCAGACTCAGCAATTTCTGCAAGTTGGTATCTAAAATGGAAATAAAAACTTTTAAATTGGGGCATTCCGAGAATTGAACTCGGGACCTCTCGCACCCTAAGCGAGAATCATACCACTAGACCAAATGCCCATTTGCTTACTATTTCTGCGTTTTACAATATTAACCTACTCAAACACATCTTCTTTGTTTTGAAATAACTATAACCGGTTCACTAATTGGTGTTGAGGAATTAGACCACTTTTTACTGTACGAAACATGTATATTCGATACTACTAAACTTGATTTACAAGTGATGAACCAAACAACAAATGGGATAATTCTTAGTTTTTTTTTTTCAGAAGCAAATACAATAGTAATGTACATATCAATAATCAGAGCATCCTTCTTCCTCGTCAGTCTCATCTAACAAATCGAAATACTCATCGAGATGCAATGTACAACAATCGTTCAGTATTTCACGAGAACCATCAACACGAACCATCTGATCATCAATCATATCTTTAGACATGCCCCAAGCCGACATCTCTTCTTTGGTGTGGTGTATTCCAAAAGTGTACTCTCCTCCCGCACCTAACTCCATCACCCTAAACTCGCAGTTTCCTAAGTTGTTCAGCCGCTCGAACTCTTCCACCGTCCACTTAAACCATTTCATCAGAAACACACGAGAGGTCAGCCCATGGGACACAATCACTAGGTTCAGCTCACTAGATGGATCCACTTGATGCCTGTTCATGTCCACGTCTCTCCACAGTGACTCCAAGAAACCTTTCCAATGAGGTCAAACATTGAGATACTTAATGTTATGTAATGTAACAATTTAATATCTTTTTCATTATGGAAAAACCAATAAACTAGCAGACCAGGAGCGTTACACTTTTTCCCTCAACTGTTAAAACAAAGTAATTAACTAAAAGACCAATCAAATTACGTTTTCTTCTCTCAATTGTCAAAGTCAAATGTCGTTGAAAGTAGAGCCGACGAAACTATCAACTAGTGCAAATTTTTCAAAAAAAAAAATTAAATTACTTAAAACCATCCGTAATTATCCAATATATTCAAAAACCGAATCTGATAATGAAAATTTGTGTGAATTTATTTATTATCCTTATCATTACACCTATTATCTGAATTATCCTCTAGAGAGACAGGACTTACTTGAAACACGATCATAAACGTCAGAAGCAGATTCACCCTCGGGGAAACGGTAAAAAAATCTCCCAAAACGTTCCCTTGTCAACTTCACAACTCTCATCCTCTCTTCCACTTGAAAATTCCCAAAATCTTGTTCTCTAATCCTACACTCTTCCCTCACTCCTATCACGCGCCGCCTCGAGAACCCTTTCCCTACTTCCCTCAACGTTGTCCTCGTTCTCTCGTACGGTGACACGTAGAAGTACACGCGCCAGTTCTCTCCGCACGTGCCGCCGCTTTGAGTTGAAATCAAGGCTCTCATCTTCTTACCGGCCTCACGTGCCTGCGCTCGTCCTTCTTCGGTTAGAGGGATCTTGTGGTCGGGCGTGGTTGCGTAAGCTCCTTGGTCGATGTTGCCGGCGGACTCGCCGTGGCGCATGAGTATGATACGTTTTGGAAGCATCTTTTTATCGTTCACCATTTTCTTTCTCTCTACCTTTTAGGTGTTAGATTATATAATGTTTTGGTTTTATAGTGGAGAGGTTAATTATTATTATTATTATGTCTCTTTGTCAAAGTTGAGAGCCCACCATATGAGACCACGATCTCAAGAAAGACCGACTACTATTACGATCCCACTCCGTTTCCCATTGATTAAAACTTAGCTCAAGTTGACAATATGGATATGTTTAAAAAAAACAAAATTTGACAATTTGGTTTTAGTGCTAAACTTAAATCATTTCATTAATTACTAGATAGTTTTGGTTGGTACTACTAATTTGTAGGTCGAGTGGATGGAGACTTTATATTAAAAAAATTTGGTATAGTGGTCAAAATGGAACGAGATGATTTCAATGTTTACGGAAGACAACAACTACTCTATTCACATTGGCATTGATTGGTAACCATCCGGAATGGCGGAATGACTTATGAAACGCGATTCCGCAAGAATTTTGCCAATCAACGAAATGTTGCGGAATG